ACATATCAAAAGTTCTAAAGAAGTATAACGTCAAAACCAGATTTACCACTTGTCCGAAAATCTCTCAACATTTTCGATCCGTCAAAGATAACATTCTAATTGAGATTGAGAGTCTTCAGCATTCCATGCATATGCCGCAAATAATAGATTGGAGAGACCGGACGAAAAACATCAATTAGGCTCAAAGAACACGAAAGAGCCTTACGACTAAGCCAAATAAACTCATCAGCTGTTGCCGAACACAATCAAGAAACATTTTATTCGATAAAACTGAAATTCTTGGATGTGATCAATTCTTCAACCAACGAAAAATCAGAGAGTCTATAGAAATCTATAAGCAACCTAACAATCTTAACCGCGACTTAGGTCTCTACCAGTCACCAATATGGGAATCAGTCTTCCGAGACGGTGTTTGTGCCCCTCATTTAGCTCCGCCCCTCTCAAACAATGTATAAGCAGGTACAGAGTAAAACGCGAGCCGGATTCAGCCAAGCTCTGAAGAAGCCACAGGATGATTGGCGAAACGTCAGCAAGTTCGACTCAGCAAAAACCGATGCAGGAGGAATCCAGAAGTTTTGTAAAAATTAAAACTGTTCCAAATTAGTCTAGATATTATGCTTTCCCTGTATGCGTAAGGTTAGATCTTTGTCACGTGAGGTTTGGAGTTAACAGAGTGTAAGCTGTAGACCAAATGCCTCTGGACTTTTCAAGCAGAACGTCAAACGTAAATGTCAAACAGATGTTTTGGTTTATCATTTTTTTGTAGTTCCCAGACAGGACTAGTTTTTTGTATGTTTATTTTTGTCATTTGCGATCGCTTTATTTTATCAACAATAATAAGAAATCGTCAGATGAATGCGGTTCAAGTGCAACAACAGCTACATGAAGTTCGAAAAGTGGCTAATAGTCAGTGGACGGACAGTGAGAAGAAGACTTAAGGGACATAACCTGACCCCAAAAACAATTGCAATTGGTCCAAAATTTACTCCAGCTTATCGACAAGCGCGCCTATGCTTTGCACCCGATCATCTGAATTGGACATCGGACCAATAGAGGCCTGACGCACGAACCGACCGACTAGGTACATCGAGGATATTTTATCAGATTACGTGGTACCAAATGTCGACTACATTGGAGAAGAATTCACACCTCAAGGATCGTGCAAGATTACCTTACAGAAGTCCCCCAGCATGCAGTCCCGACCTCAATCCTATCGAACATTTATGGGATGAGCTGAAACGGAGAATTCGAACTGGACTTCGTACAGTAGTAGTAGAGGAAGAGTAATAGGGGGTCATACCCATTATTAATAAATAAGTGTTGAGTCGCTAATTGTCAATAACCCTATTTGTTATTAGTAATAAAAAGCAATTTTACTTTTTTTTTAAGTACAGCAAAATAGACAAAAAAGTAATGGAATCACACAGATTTAATTACTTTTAAGAAATTAAAAGATATAGCTTAGACAACAAATCCATAATGGTCTACAAAGAATATTAAGGATTCCAGCTTGGATTATCATCAGAGCTTCAAAATTTCAGAACAGGAAATTATAAAAATTGAGTCATATTACATTTTTATACAAAACAACATAAATCCTATTAGAACTAATCTCAATTACGACTCTGATAGTGAAACAGAATTAGATTTAGACATCTAGAGTAAAAATATATATTGCCTTCGTCGGCAGGTAACTTCCATAATTGAAGGCAAAAACACCATGAACATCATGAGACAGATTGGCTATACCAATATGGCTAAGATATACTCATCATTTTTGATGACGTAACTGCATAACTGCCCTGCCGTCTCATTTGTCACGGCACTTTATGGATTTTTATTCGATTGTGCCTCGTATAATTGGAAATTTTCTGCAACCGTTACAAAAAACATGCCAACAAACTACTTAAATGTAAACTTTGCTGTCGTTTATCCAACGCGACTTTGCGGATTTCGAAGCTGCTGTCTCGTGCATGACGAAACATATCGGGCCAACGACTTATTAATATTTTCTCTTCCCCTATCGATCCGTCACATTATTTTTCACGGAGCCCCGCGGACTACGCCCGGAATCAATCAATCATGAAGCTCGTGTGATCGTGCAGCTAGAACTGGCCAAGCAATTTTCGCCTCGATTTACACGGTAAAAATAGGACGGGATGACGTCGCCCGAGAGACGAACGTTCTTTATAAAATGCATCTTCGACAATAATGTTTATGCACAATGTTTATCGTCCGTTAATGTAGCTCGCTGTTTGTGCCACGCGAAACGGTTGAACCGGTCGGTAGGATAAATACGAATTTTTACCCTTTGCACTTATGACTTATCATTACAGCAGGTCGGCCGGGCTCATTTCGAATGTTTCTCAATTGCTTTCTTGAATCTTCGTTGAGGACAAGTTTACGTAAAAATAAAAGATAGCATGATATTTATTTTCAACATGCCATCGTAATTTTATATCTGTCGATGTATATATTTCAACCACTTCAGTTCACGTGTGCACCGTTTTTGAATTTTGAATATTACTCAGTTTTATAACTAACATGATTGGGTAAAGTTCGGTGTACTTTTTCGGTGTGCATTTCGAAAAAAAAAATCAAACGCCCAAGAAATTTTTACAACATGAAATTAAAAATGAATTGCAAAGTAGCGATGATGAACTTTATATTGACGCGCCTGAAAATGATAGACTGCATAGTGATAATATTAGTGACTCTAGTACAGAGAAACATACCTTTACCATCAAGTTCAAGCATAACACAACTTTGTAATTTTGGTTCATGGCATGGCGTGACATGCCACCATCAGGTAAAGTCTGTTCATAGATATAAGAAAGTGACTAACTCATACGAATTAAGCAAGCTGTAAGAATGAAATATGGCCGATCAGGTCCGTGCTTTGTTTGGAATTTAATTATTTTTGGTTTTGTTAGGATACTAAGCAATGTTTATTTATTTATGTATGTATTTATGTTTAAATCTAAAATAAAATTACAAACCATTTTTCTTATCTATTTAAATTACTTAAAATTATTCACATAATATATCAGTATCATTATCGCTATCATGGCCTGTTCTAATTATTATTTGTTCTACATTATTTGCAATATGGATTGTTCTGTTTAACAGAATTTGCCCTACTTTGTGGAGGGATGTTAAAAATTTCGGTTTCTATAAGTTTGAGGACATTGGAGTTAACACGGGGAGAACATTGTTACGACGAATGGCAGATTTCAGTTGGTGCCAAACATGTTTAATGGGATTAAATATACAGTAGTAAGGTGGAAGCCTTAAAACTGTATGCCCTAGATTTTTTGCATAATTATCACAGACGTATTCCTTTTGTAGGTTCAAGATTTGTAGAACCTCAATTAATTGCTTTTTGATATAATATTCGTGAAAATAAATATCGTTATTATACATGTAGTTTTGGATTGTTGCTTTTGTGTCACATGAGGAAGTGGTTTTAGTCAACTGTCTACTGTGATAACTTGCATTGTCCATTACAATGACGCTATTAGGAGGAATGTTTGGAACTAGTTTGTTTTTAAACCAACTTTCAAATAAATCAGCGGTGGTGTCTTCATGGTAATCCAGAGAAGAATTTTTAACATTTTTTGCAGACAATATTATATCTTGATCACTCTCAAATAAACATTGTTTATAACTTCCTTAGTCTCAATAGAATAGTGTTTTCTACATTTGGATGGGAGCATCTCCTGAGATACTCTAGACTCGCACATATTTTACATAATTCGCACACGATTCAACACACGCTGTATTACACAGGAAATAAGAATGATTACTAATAAACTTAAACTAAGTAGCATACCAAACCAAAGAATATTAAACAGAGATAGGTATAAAATTATTTTCTATTACGGACAACAATTTTATTTGAATTTAAATTCCAAAACTTTGGGTAACAATGTTATTGCATTGTATCTTAATGACCACCCTTTTATAATCCCATTCAAAAGCAATTGGTCACTTTCTTACATCTATGAACAGTCCATACTAGATATCGCGCTGTAGGTATTGGAAAAGATAACCAAGAAAATTAAAAATTAGTATAAAACAAGTCAATACACAATTAGCCCTAAATGTAACAAAATTAACATTACCGAACCCTGAAAAGTGTAGTTTATTGTCTCAAAATTTAAAAAGCATTTTGCTAGCAAAAACTGCATGGCGGTTACCTCAAAAAATTCCGCGACACGGAAATTGTTAAATGATTAAATGTAGAAATTGCATTTTGTCTACCGAGCTTTAGATATTAGTATCAGTTCACACAATAATTTACCTATATTTTATTGCAATTTGGATTCAAACGTAAATAACCAAAAAGAGGGAATCATAACCACCAAAAATTTAAACAACAATGTCACAGATTGTTAGTATTCTCTGGCAATAGCAATTCCTAGCTCGGCGTTGCCAATTATATTCGGATTTCAGAGATTTTGCGTTCTTATGAAAATTACTCAAAATTTCAGAAAAATTACGGCAATGTGACCATTCGCAAAAGATCCACACCTTCTGACGAAAATGTCATAGCCACCTGCGGCGCATCACTTTTTACTGTAGTAGGGCCACTATATTATCTTATAGCTAGATGGTTTAAACATAACCCGAATTCTGAAGATGATAGCTAATCAGTTCTAAACGGTGTATCACAGACCTATACTCATGTACATCGTTGAATATGTCTTTGAAATGACCATCCAAAAATGCAATAAAATGTAGGGTGTTCTATTTCAAAAAATCTAACTTTGTTTTACCACCCTGTATATAAAATAGTGACGATCGGGAAAATAAAAAAAAATTATTTTAATAGAAATAACTTTCGTAATTAAACTTTTTTTGGTAACCCCCCTAGGTTTCGAGATAAGGTATAGGCCCCTCTTAATTTATCAACTATGGAAATTTTTGCGGATTATTATCATTATTTTGCCTTTTCTTGAGACGTGAGACGTACGATTGTTTAAATCTTTTCATTGCAGGTGATGCCAGGACAAGCACAAGACAAGTGATGCTGACTGACACATAAAAATTCTCAAAATTTCCGGGTCAAACTTCTCGTTGCAGTGCTAACAACTATTTAAGAAACTATAAGCGAGGATAGAGTTGGATGTGCGTGTCTATATTGTGCCACTCGATGACTCAGTAGCGTTGTTGATCATGGGATGCGAGCTGGGAAAGCTGGCCAGCAGGGAGTCGCGGGAAAACTCGAACAAGAAGCTGGAAGATGCTGCTCCATCGCAGCAAGTCGATGCGAGACTACCACTCACGGCTAAACAGAAATACAATATGCTGGCTTCGTGGAAAGGTATTAGCAGGGCCATGGAAAGCACTGGCGTTTGCATGTTTCTCAAGTAAGTTTTAAAAATTTTCCATTCCTTGATTATTTCCTGTAACACGACTGTAATGTAAATAATACAGGGCGTCCGGAAATAATGAGCAAAAAATGGCTGACACGGAAATCAATGCGGTTAAGGCACTATACAAGCAACTCATCTGAATCAATTTCAATAAAAAAGTCTTTATACCGCTTACTATCATTCCAGTCATCTGCTTGTAGTCCTCAATCCACTCTTCCACAGTTTACTTCTTGCTTCCACGATTTTGTGGGTCTACGTGGTTTTCTGCGATTGGTGGGGATCCATTGTAACCATTTAAACCTTTTACATTCTATAGTTTCATATTCTTCATCGATTTTTCGCAACCTGTAGTGAATATCTTCCTTGCCTTCAGCAAATATAACTCGGTCATCTGCAAAATAAAGGCTATAAAGCTTATGATCCCCAATTGGATTAGCCACCGGCTGACGTTTTCTTTTAAAGATTTCCAAAGCGCCCTCCAAATAGATCTTAATGAAGTCCTTAGTTACCTTTACCTTCCTGGTTACTTTTTGCCCAATCTTTATTAGATCGTCATATCGTCGAATAAATCCTTCACTTCTAACACTTGCCACAGCTTAGTTAATGGGACGCTATCGTACGCTTCTTGAAGATCAATGAATACCATATGTGTCTCTATATTGTATTCCAAACGCTTTTCTAATGTTTGTTTTAGGCTGAACATGTTGTCTATGCAAGAACGTCTGCTTTTAATTATCTTCCCATACAACCTGCTAATTGAGTTGATTACACTAAGCCCCCGGTAATTTGTACACTCCTTTCTGTCACCTTTATTCTTGTATATATTGTGGATGTATGCAGTTTTTATTCTGTGGATATTTATTCACCTCTCAGGGGATAAGCGAGTAACTGGAATAATTTGTCAGAACTATATCTATGGGTACTCCCCCACCCCCCCGTTCATATTACTCAGTTTCAGTTTCTTCGCAGTAGAAAATATCACGTTTTTCGTGGTCAATATCTTGAAATTTTGCTGGGTCTTCTGTCAACATTTGTTCATAATCCATCCTTCCATAGAGATCAAGTTTAACCTACTCCATTCTTTGTTATTTGTTCTACTACCTTTAATTGTTTTCCAGGCTTCTTTACACTTCTTGAGTTGCTTAATAAACAAACCATGCAGGAGGAATCATTTCAGGTCAACGAACTTTTACTTTAAATTAGGTCCAAAAATTAAAAAGTTTATAATGCATGGTCACATTTCATTATCTGCTGTAACTTTTTGAATGGTGGATATTTGTGTTCGCTATCAGAGCGATAATTCTGATCAAATAGGGAAATGGTCCGTATTTGGTGAATACGGCTAATAGTTAACACATTCCTTTTGCCCAGGCCAAAAAGAAATATTTTATAATTTTCTCCTATTTTCTCAATATTTGGTCTTTGTTTCGCATTTCATTAAGAAAGTAACGACGTTATTACCCTTTTAACTATAATTACAATTGATAGTCTTTTAAGCGTCACTTGTTCTGTTTTATTATTAGGTCAAGTTGGATTTTAGGTTAAGTCTCGTAATATAATTGTTTCATCTAATACTTTTGTAACTATTATAAATAATTATTCCTTTCATTTTCATTTGTATCATACCATTGTTGTATGATTTTATGTACCGTGCGTTCAATTTATCTTGATAACATTTTAATTGGCTGTAACTTTCTGGTTTTTAGAGATATAACGGTGAGCAAATAAACAAAATGTAGGGCTAGTACCCAATTTTTTTTTCCAAGTGCCTAAGCCAAAATATTTTTTAAACGGAACACCCTGTATTTTATGTGTTTAATAGAATATTTTATTCCGATTACAATGATGTAACACACTTTATATTTTAGTCCACTGGTTTTTAACAAATCGGCAATAATAGGAATTTTTTGAATAATTTCAAATAGTGCTTTGACTGACTGCAACAACAATAATTATTTGCAAATTAAAATAGAACAAAAACGCTAAAAAATGATTGGTACCACTGGGTTTTTATTTCGTGCATTTGTCTATCATTATTTATCTATTATAGCCCTTTTTTGTTATAATTATGTTATATGAAGTAAGCCTATATGTCAGAAAATTGATAGTGTTTTGTTTTATACTTCACTTGGAAAAAATCTTGGTTACTAACCCAACATTTTGTTTTTTTGTTACAGCCAATTAAAATGTTATCAAGATAAATTGTACGCACGTTACATTTAATAAATTATGATAATAATAATAATTATTATAAAAACGTTGTTTATGAGTGTATAAAGAAGATATGTATGTAGTAAAAGACTTGATAATATTACACATACGAGAATGTTTGCATGCTTCTGCGGCTGCTAGATGGCGTTAATGTCCTCGATACGAGAGCTGACGTCATGACCAATAAAAGTGCGTTTAGCGCAGTCAATAATAAATCCATTCGCGCACCTGAGCATAATATACGCTTGAAACAAGACGCGAGTTTATCAGGGGAGGCGTTACATATATGCGTCAACGAAACAGGCTTCGCTGAAACGTTATTTCTGTCGCCGATTCTATTTTCCTTATTCACAAACAACACGGCGATATATTATAATGAAAGAGTACGCCAGAGGTTCGTGTAATGGAATGATTCGGCATAAAAAAGATAAGTATGCGTTGAAACATTTCAGATCATTTCGACGGAGCGAATAGATAACTGAAAATCGCGTGGGAGTAAATATCTGAAATCTGGTTTGTACCGGGTGTCTTACAACGGCCTTACATGACTCTATAACGGTGTTATTTCTATTTTCAGCTGAAGCTTAAATTTCCGGAAAAAAATTGAGCTCGTCTGGTATTAAAAAATACGTTTCCATTAGTTAAAAATTACCTTGTGTATTTTAAACACCCATGCACGGTAATGAGACGATGAAAGCGACATCATATGGATTTTTTACATCAAATCCAGTGGCTTTACTTTACTTTATTATTGTTACAATTATTGTCATTATTACAATATTTCAATTTTAAAATTACAATGACTGACCTAGACACCTAGGTTTAAAAAACCCTTATGTGTGGAATCTCAACATTAGCTAATTTACCCAATTATAAACCTAGAATAATTAAATCGTAATTACAATCAAATAAGTTAAATTAACTAAACAATTAAGCCAAACCTGGAGGAGATTCCTAGAATATAGTTTTTGGCCTCTCAAGAAAATATCTCTTTTTTTTAATTTTCCTTGAACACGTACACGACATTTCCGACATTTAAACACAGTTTTAACAATAGTACTTTTTATTAGGGATGAACATTGTACAGGGTGGCCCATTAATAAAAGACGCCGGTCATATCTCAGGAACCATTAATAATCCAACTTAGAAAAAAATATGTTTATAGGTAAATCGGCTGAGAGGAAAAGCTGGAAATTATTTTCAGGTTCATAAAATGGTCGCTAGGGGGCGCGACCTCTACTGTAAAATAGAAAAAACGGGTTTTCTCAAAAATATTCCAAACTAACCTATACCAAAATTACTTTTAACTTACTTTTAACGTAATATTTTTTTCTATCTCGTCAAATTAAGGGTGGGGGAAGGGTTTAGAAAAAGTTGAATAAAATTTTTTTGGCTAATCCTATTTCGAGGAACGTAGTTTAGTTTTAAAGAGTATTTATAAGAGCTTCACATCATCACGATATAAATTCTTTTACGAGTTGGTAGTATGATTTTCTCGAAAATTTCAAATATAATGCTATATCCTGTTGGCTTCTCCAGAGCTTGACTGAAACTGGCTCGCATTTTACTCTGTACCTGCTTATATATTGTTTGAGGGTGGTGGAGCTCAATGAGGAGCAATAAACACCGTCTCGGATGACTAGTTCCCATATTGGTGACAGGTAGAGTCGCGGTAAAGATTGTTATGTGACTCGGGCTGAGATAGCTATAGGGCTCTGTAAACAAGAGAGTTGATAACCTATGATTTTTGGGCCGGATGGTGACGTGACTATGCATTAAGGTATTGGTCTGTGTGCGTAGGTTTTCTGTAAACACAAGGACCCAATGTTAGGACTGATTTTCTATTGATAAGAATATCTAAGAATGGAAGGTTATTATTAGTTTACAACTCATTAGTAAAACGTATGTTAGGGTGTATAGAGTTTAAATGTCTAAGAAAATCTACTAGGGTTTCTTGACCATGACGCCAAATAACAAAAGTATCATCGACGTAGCGTTTCCATAATTTTGGTTTTAGATGAAAGGTGTCGAGAGATTTCTTCTTAGAGGCTTCCATAAATATATTCGCGATGATTGGTGATAGTGGACGTTTTTTCAAAAATTTGACCGTTATAGGTTGAGAAGGTTTGGTTCCAGATTTTTTTTTTTTCGATAAAATTAAAATTATTGCATGTTGTCACTTCTTCTACCAATGAAAAATCCGAGAATCTATAGAAATCTATTAGCAATCTTAACCGCGACTCAGGTCTCTACCTGTCACCAATATGGGAATCCGTCATCCGAGACGGTGTTTATGCCCTTCATATAGCTCCGCCCTCATCAAACAATATATAAACGGGTACATAGTAAAATAGTTTCAGTCAAGTTCTGAAGAAGCCGACAGGATGATTGGCGAAAAGTCAGCAAGTTCGACTTGGCGACGGGTAGAGACATGAGTCGCGGTTAAGATTGTTAGGTTGCTGATAGATTTCTATAGACTCTCGGATTTTTCGTTGGTAGAAGAATTGATTACATGCAAAAATTTTAGTTTAATCGAATAAAATTTTATGACCGGTTTCGTGATTGCGTTCGGCAACTGCTGATGAGTTCATTTGTCGTAAGCCTCTTTTGTGTTCTTTGAGCCTAGTTGATGTTTGATGTTGATGTAAACTCCTGGAATCTCAAATGGAATTTTGTCTTTGATGGATCGAAGACGTTGAGAGGTTTTTGGACAATTGAAAAAAAAATGGCACAGTTTAAGGATTCTTCTGTGCATTGACGAAGGCAGAATCCTGAATTCAGTGGTTTATTCGGATTTCTTTTTACGGACCGTAAGTTTTCAGATTCAAGGCAAGAAAAAATGGAACACCATTAATCTTTTTATATGCTTTTTATTGTATGTTCAAGATAAGGAAGTCTATCATGGGGATATTGGAAACCATTGAGAAAAGTTGTAAAATTTAAAGATTGCAAACTCTTGCAAAATGGGTCGACTCCATATTTTGACCACTGATTACCGGAATGAAAGAAAATCGAAAGTCCATAGCGTACATTTTATTCACCCAACGACATAATCAATTCAGAAAATAAGAGAAAATGCTTTGAGTATCTCGAGGAGTTTCCTGGTGATGAGGAACTCTGTCTCACATACTTCTTCCAGGGCGACCTCGATACGTTCTATCAAAATCACCCCCAGTTTTTTCACGCTGGCCAGTATCAACTCGACTATCTTGTTCTCATATTTTAACGCAACCGTGTTGACGACACACAAGAGATCGCCGTGGCATTTCTTAGCTATCTTGTAAAGAGCCTGCTCGTTGTCCTTGAGGAACTCTCCGAAACGATCCACGTAGCATTTGCCGATGTCGATGAAAGCCTTGATCTGGATATCGCCGATCAGTTGTAACTCTTTGAGGGTGACCGCAGGAACGTCGTGTACGAGAAGAGGATGCTTTATTTTGGCGACCTAGAATAAAAAGTCAATATCTAGCATAGAATAATAATCCTCGCAACTCATATAGAAAACTTCTACAGTGTGTCCCGCTTAGACCCTTGCAAAATCTTTGTTTATGATTAGATTTGGGTAATTTTTTTTTGTTGGATGTCTTAGATATGCATCAAAATCTTGTTTTGCTCATTGCTTCAACCTGAGGATAAAGTTCGAGATTTTTCAATTTAAAGTGATCTTCCTGCAGAAATAATGTGAAAGCTATTAGAATTAGGTAGGTGTTAGCATTAATAAAAAAGTTGAAGAAGTTTATACGAAATTTAAAAAATATTTTTTGAGCCAATGTTAAATATGATTGATCTTCCTTCAGAAATAATGTGAAAGCTATTAGAATTAGGTAGGTGTTTGCATTGATAAAAAAATTTGAAGAAATTTAAAATAAATTTTAACCAAAATAAAAAATATTTTCTAAGCCAATATTAAATATGGTTGATCTTCCTTGAAACATAATGTAAAAGCTATTAATTAGATTTAGGTAGGTGTCAGCATTAATAAAAAAGTTCAAGAAGTTTATAAGAAATTTAAACTAAAATTAAAAAATATTTTCTGAGCCAATGTTAAATATGACTGATCTTCCTTCAGAAATAATGTGAAAGCTATTAGAATTAGGTAGGTGTTAGCATTAATAAAGAAGGATGAAATTTATAAGAAATTTAAACCAAAATAAAAAATATTTTCCGAGCCAATATTAAATATGATTGATCTTCCTTCAGAAACAATGTGAAAGCTATTAGAATTAGGTAGGTGTTAGCATTAATAGAAAAGTTGAAGAAGTTGATAAGAAATTTAAACCAAAATTAAAAAATATTTTCTGAGCCAATATTAAATATGATTGATCTTCTTTCAGAAATAATGTGAAAGCTATTAGAATTAGGCAGGTGTTAGCATTAATAAAAAGCTGAAGAAATTTATAAGAAATTTAGACCAAAATTAAAAAATATTTTCTGAGCTAGTATTAAATACGATTGATCTTCCTTCAAAAATAATGTGAAAGCTATTAGAATTAGGCAGGTATTAGCACTAATAAAATAAGTTGAAGAAGTTTATAAGAAATTTAAACCAAAATTAAAAAATATTCTCGGGGACAATCTGTCTTCTTTTAAATACTTAAACTGTGCATCCTAACAAGCTTCATAACTTTTGTATTTACAATAATTTCTGAAACAAATAAGATAATGGATTGTTCTGTCCAGTTTAAAGCACTATAAATAACTTCGGTGTCATTAGCAAAACCCACATCCCGTCTTTTAATTTTATCTTGAAAAGCCCGTTAATATAGATAGCAAAGAGTATAGGTTCCAGTACGTTTCCTTGAGGCACTTTTTTTTAAATTTGATCACATTGACGCTGTTACACTGTTACAATGTTACACTTTCACAAGTAATCCACCATCTTCTGTTTTAATATACTTTCAAATATTTTCGTAAAATTTGAACAAGATTATTACCTAAAGTTTCGGAATTTAAATTCAGTTAAAATTGTGGTCCGTGATAGAAAATAATTTTATGCCTACCTGAGTTTAATATTCTTTGGCTTGGTATACTACTTAGTTTAACTTTATAAGTAATCATTCTTATTCCGTGTGTAATAGAGCGTGTGTTGAATCGTGTGCGAATTATGCAAAACATGTGCGAGTCTAGTGTATCTCAGGAGATGATCCCGCAAAATGTAGAAAACACTATTTATTCTATTGAGACTAAGGAAGTTATAAACAATCTTTATTTGACTCTCATTGAACGTGGTGCCAGCAAGCAAGCATCTTTAGAAGAAACAGCTACATTGACGAAAATTCCAATATCAGCTGTATGGAAAGTTGTGAATAATCCCATTTCAGCGAGGACAAATAGAAGCGATGCTGACATTTCTCGAGTGTAGATGAAAGTGACAAGATATAAAACGGCGTACATTAGATATCTTAATTAGGAGGCTTGAAAAAGATGAAACCGGTGTTAAATGTGGCAGAACTACCTTATGGAAGTGTATATGTGTTTTAGATTTTAAAAAATTGACAAAAGGGAAGTTTTAATGGAATTTTACAATTCGGAAATGGCTACTGGAATATCTAGAAAAAATTAGGATTTGCAGAGGCCAATTAGTTACTTAGATGACACTTATGATACCCAGGAAAAGGGTTGGGTTGACTCAACTGAAAAGTGTAAAACAAACGCGCCATCAAAAAGAGGTAAAAGAATAACTATTTTGCATGCTGGCTCTAAAGATCACAGTAGACAGTTGACTAAAACCCCTCCATCATGTGGATTACCATGAAGACACCACCGCTGATTTATTTGAAAGTTGGTTTAAAAACAAACTAGTTCCAAACATTCCTCCTAATAGCGTCATTGTAATGGACAATGCAAGTTATCACAGTAGACAGTTGACTAAAACCACTTCCTCATGTGACACAAAAGCAACAATCCAAAACTACATGTATAATAACGACATTTACTTTCAGGAAAATTATACCAAAAAGGAATTAATTGAGGTTCTACAAAGCTTGAACCTACAAAAGGAATACGTCTGTGATAATTATGCAAAAAATCTAGGGAATACAGTACATACACTGTATGTTTAATCCCATTGAACATCTTTGTCGTAACAATGTTTTTCTTCGTGTTAACTACAATGTCCTCAAACTTATTGAAACCGAAGTTTTTAACATCGCTCCACAAAGTTGGGCAAATTCTGTTAAATATATAGAAAAAGCAGAACAATCGTATATCCATATTGCAAATAATATAGAACAAATAATAATTAGAACAGGCGATGATAGCGATAGTGATACTGATATATTATGTGAATAATTTTAAGTAATTTAAGTAATTAATAAAAATAATTTGTAATTTTATTTTTAATTTAAACATAAATACATAAATAAATGAATAAATGTTGTTTAGTATATTTCCTAACAAAACCCCAAATAATTAAATCCTAAGACCTGTTCGGCCATATTTCATTTTTACAGCTTGCCCGGGTCTTTCCTTAATTCCTATCGGTTAGTCACTTTCGTATATCTATGAACAGACTTTACCTGTGATGCTTTTTACGCATTTGCATAGTAGGAAGTGGTCATTTTTATTTTTATTTATTTGTCGTACGTTTCCTAATTTTTTTGCAAGCCCCCTAGTTGTCCATGGGTTTCTTTTTTAATTTTGGTGTTTTTTTTTTTCAAAGTACATTTTTCTATATAGTACTTTAATTTGTTTACGTATATTTCTGTGACGTTATCAGTATTAATAGCGGAGTAAATATCGTTAATATTTTCATGGCAGTGCCTCAGACAGAAATATAAACTGTTATTAAATTACAAAAAAATCTGAAGATGGTGGTCGATAATTTTTATTTTTTGTTGGTACGTTTGTTGCTAAAACAGAATCCTTTAGTGCTCGCGGCGCAACTTTTATGAGCTGTCGTAAGAGTTTAAAGGGCAGGACGTTTCCTAGCGAAGCGAATAATTTATTTGACGGAGTCGAATTTAATTTGCGACACGAACCGGCCGAATTGACCTGTTTGAGTACGACATTTGCCAAAGAAATTGGTTTACCGATTGACCAATGTTTGCTTCGTCTCTGTTTTGAATATCTGGAATTAGGGAACTCTAGTTCGCAAGTATAGCGGTACAGTTCGCAAATAGAAAGACACTCCGCAACAAGTTTCAACGGCACAAAATCATACAAGCAAGGTGAACCCTCGAACCACATTAACCATTCAAAGTTTACTCAACATGAACCTGAGCTTATTAAATCGGAAGTTGAACACTCTTTAAAGCAACAAGGCGCGGGCATAGATGCAATAGAAGCCAAAATTGACATTAAAAACAATATATTACCATAAATAATAAAATAACTTAATTATTTATAATAATATTATAATATAACGGCATTTTGCTCACGAGTTTATTGTTTATTTGATACGAGCGGAGCGTGTGTTTAATAAGCGAGTGACTTAAAAGTTTATACTTTTTCTACGATCGTTAGTTTCGGGGACATTTTTGCAAAACAACACGAATACATTCGCTTACATGACCGTCAGAATTGGCAAACGTCAAAATTCAAGGCGTGGGAAATATCTCCGAAAAACATCCGATTGCTCCCAAACCCGTGCGGTAAAATTTCGGAAATATCCAAAGTGGATCGAATCCGTGGGAAATGAAACTGACTCTTCCCGCTTGCTAGATTGGTGTGTAATTAGGTATTTTACAAACGGGAGTAGAAAAATATTTTTTCAGCACCACACTAATGTGACCATGAGGCCAAATAACAAAAGTATCATCGACGTAGCGTTTCCATAATTTTTGTTGTAGATGAAAGGTATTGAGAGCTTTCTTTTCAAAGGCTTCCGTAAACATATTCACGATAACTAATTATAATGGACAACCCACAGCTGATCCCGACGTTTACTCATAAATTTGACTGTTACAAGAACGACGTGTTTTAGACAAGAATTTTTCAATTAAAATGAGAAGGTTTGGTTCCAAATTCTCGGATTTTCATATATCTGAAATGATGTTGAGTGTTCCAGGAATAGGAACTTTAGTAAAGTGGGATTCTGCGTCGAAACTAACAAGAATATCTTGTGGATCTAACGTAACTAACGTAACGTAACGATTTTTTAAGGGTTTTTGCGGTTTCAAGGCAACATTTAAATGAATGAATTATAATTCAAGAATATTTGTATGTTTCATGTCATATTTATTTCAGTATACAGTTGTATCGAATAAAGTAGATTTTCATTTTTTTTGTTGGTTTTGAGAAACTAAAAACATTATTTAATATTTTAACCTAGTCTGCTTATTTGTCAGCGCTAAGTTATGATTATTTGGTTAGTTTCATAGTCTTAAGCATCTTTCATGTTCTTTGAGCCTAGTAGATGTCGGGATTAGATGTTAGAGATTTCAGAGCAATGCTAAAGTGCACACAAAGATTCTTTTATTAGGAAGTCTAAACTAGTCAAAGCAAAATAAGGACCACTTTTAAGGACATTTGTTTTTACTACTTTTTGAGTAATTCCGTTATAATATTTGTTGTCATTTGCAAAAAATATATACAAAATCTGGTTTTCCAAAAATAAGGTTTTTTTTAGTAAAAAAATACATTTACATAAACAAAATTATGATGAATATCTTTTATCAAGATATTTAAATAATATGGAAGTCACGAGAGTAGTTACTTACGAAGCTTTTTTTTGTCGTAGTTATTTCTGTGCTTGTTCATAAATTTAAAAAATTTGACTTTATTTTAAAGTTAATGTTTTGTTAGAATGCCTTAGTTTTAAGAAGAATGAATTTTACTTTTTCGAAAAACACAAAGTAATTGCAAAAGTGGTCCTTATTTCATTTTGATTAGTTCATTTTGACTTTAACAATAACATTTAACTCGGAACTGATATTAGGTAAAGTTTTCATGGATTGTTTAGAACAAGAAATTTCTATACTGCGCTACGTAGATGACATTTTTACTTGATTTACTGGAACTGAGAGACAGTTATTTAATTTTCTTAATCTAATTTTTCTAGATCTGACCATGGATCTTCATATGCAGACGCTATTCCAAATTCTTCTTGCCATCGATACTCACTTAAATTAACTTTTCATAATATGATTCACAATTCTCTCCATACCATTAAATACTACAAATTATTCAACTCAATTAAATATCATAGTCAAATCCGATAGTCAAAGAACCTCCTTCTAAATGTGATGTTTCCGAAACTTTTAAAAATTTTTGCATCTTCTTAAGTAAACATAATCTGAAAATAGCTTTTAAAATGGAAAATCCATTAAACATAATAAAAGTCCTAACCAAAACGAATATAGGCCAAAACTTTTTTCCAATCATGCAATTAATTTAAGAGAATGTAAGTAAAACCAGCTAACTTATGAACTAAATAATGAGAAATAAAATAGTTTCAATACCCAGTCAGAAGGGTAATCTAAACTTGCAGATACTGCCTCCAGTACCTCCCAGAACACCGCCAACTCGTCGTGGTTGTCATCTGAAACCAAAACTAAAGTTGTAACAAAAAATCGTCCGATTATATTTGTCTTTCTCAAGTTTCTGAGGGTATGATCATACTGATGGATATAGGCATGAAAATGAAAAAAAGGGTATGCCTGTTTACACAATTAGATTGGAACAAAAAATTTTCAGATTTTGCCACCTACTTTGTCCACTACTTGCAGATATTTTCATGGACAATGTAGATAACATAAACATCCTCTGTGTAAAAGATTTCTTTGGTGGTATAGATACGTAGATTACATTTTTGCTTGTTTTATTTGGAAGGAAAGACAATTACAGACCATATCAATAATTATTTTTGATTTGCTATTTAAAATAAGAAGTTTTGGTAGCTTAGGAAAAAAACAGTAAATATAATGATTGTAGAAGGTATAACGTATTAAAAATTATCGAAATATACTTACGTCTTCTCCCAATGGCCGGAGTGAGAACCAAGCAAAACGCCAAAACACAGTACAACACAGGCTTCATGTCTGCACTAGTCAAAATTCCCTTGCCAATGGCTTGACTTTTAACCATTGCCTCCAATTAATGCTCCAGATTTGTGGCAGTTTTTTGTGTCGTTTGTGAGAAACGAGCAAAGATCTGTTAAGAAAATGGTCATTAAAACACGAATTGCGATTTTTTTTGCCAATATGTTCGACAGCGGATACGTGAGAATGTGTCCGTTTTGTCCAGTTTAGGATGTAATTAGAATTAATATAATGCAATAACCGGGACAAGCTAAATTTAGTCAGCGTTCTTTTTGTAAAAATTTTAAAATAACCAGGATAAGCTAAACTTAATCAACGCTCGTTTTGTAATAATGGTAAAATATATTTGTTACCAATTATAGAGTGAATTTCTACTTGAAAAGCTAATGGTTGATCACCCTGTATCTCTTAGCGTTACAGAGATCCTAATAGTAAGAGCCGAATTTGAAACACCCAGCATAATCTATTAGTTATTTGGGATATTAGAATTTAATAATAATAATAATAGCTTTATTGCTCAACAAAAAATAATCCATTTACACAACAATGTATGGTAACGAAAAAAAAGAAACAGTATGTAATATAATGTAACCTAACCTATTCTAGTGAGTAGTTCGAGCAGGTTTATGGAGTGAACTCCAAAGATTCTAACCAAGACTAACCATAGATCTTAATTCGAGCTAGCGACGACTAGACATCAAACATGTATTTCTCAATTCCCTCAGTCCACAGTTAAATATGTCAACTACGTCCGAAACACAATTACAATTTGAACATGCTATCTATATTTATAGGCGAATTTTTTATAGGTTTATTCTCGCCCGAATTGACCCGTGGTACAAGAATATCTAAATACTCTAGTAGATTCGGACTATCTATAATGTTGTGAAGCAATTTATAAACAAAGATAACTGACACACTTCCGCCTATATTCCAGGCTATTCATATTAAATTTTTCCAAGTAAAATTCGTAGTATATGCCTCTCGGTGGATACGCGCCTTCTGTTTTGAACAACAGATACTTCAAAAACTTTTTCTGTGCACCACCGACCGCCCAACCATGACAAGAGTAAATCGGATTCCACACAACCGAGGCGTATTACAGCTTAGATCCAACATAAAGCAAAATACAGGGCCTTCAAATGTTGGTAAAAGAATTGCAGTTGCGTACTATAAAACCATAATTACCATACTAACCAAAACTAACCATTATTAACCATAATTAATGCTCGTGGTGTGGTTCATCAAAATGCACGCCCAGATCTTTAGTATCTATAACACGTCGGAGAACAATATTTGAGAATCTATACTGAAAATCGATAATTTCTTCCTTACGAGCGACTCAATTCATTCGGGATACACCAGTCAAAGAGTATATCTATTGATCTCTGCAACGTAACACAATCAGCAATACTAGGAATGGAAGTATAAATTTTTAAGTCCTCCGCAAATAACAGGTTCTGCGTATCATTGAGATTTGAAACAACGTCATTAATAAAAATTAGAAATAGTAACAGTCCTAAGTTAGAACTCTGTGGCACCCCTGATGTTGTGAAATATCTATTAGATGTATACCCATTGTAAGATATGTACTGTATCCTGTCACTTAAGTAGTTTCTGAGAAACATCACCGCACCATCGGCAAATCCAAAACGCTTAAGTTTCTGAAGCAAACCAGCATGAGTGATTTTGTCGAATACTTTACTAAAATCGGTATATACAACATATACTTGTCCTTGACTGCCAAGCACCCTTGCTACATACTCTGTAAACTGTACCAAATTAGTGACTGTAGAGCCGGAGTTATAAAATCCGTGCCGACTTGGAGAGATAATGCTTCTGACAGAGTTAGAAATACGGTCATACAGAACGACCTCAAGTATTTTAGAAAAATTGCATAAGATTGTGATAGGTCTATAGTTGGTTAAGTGATTTCTTTCACCACTTTTAAAAATTGGAGAGACCCTGGATTCCTTCCACCATCGCGGATAAATTTTGGACGAGAGCGCAAGGTTAAATATTTTAAGTAAAGGCTTGGAAAAGACACTCTTTTCCTAAAAAAGAAGGAATTCTATTGGGCCCTGAGGTCATTTTATTTTTTAATTTCTTTGCGGCCTTTATTATTTCATTCTTAGTAATTGGATAGAAGTGTATAGTGCTTGAGTTTAAATCTACTACGTTACAAAGAAGATATTAAAACGCTTCCACAAACCATGTTACTTTGGATTCGGGTGGATTTATTTTTTTGGTGTACATATGACCAAAATGTACGAAGATCATTAGAAACACCTTGTTGCACTGCTCCAAGGTAAACGCAATAAGCAGTCTTGATCTGAGATTTAATTTTCCATCTTTGTCTTGAAACTCGACTAAGTGGGCCGTAACACCAGTTTTCTTGTATTTTTTGTGTTTTTTTGCTTTTTGTTTTATATCTTTTATTAACTGTTTATGAGTGTAATTTTTAAACAGAGGTATATTTCGATCAAAAAGGCTATACAATTTTTCATTAAAGCTCGGCAATGCTTCGACGACATCGTGAAAGTGATTTAAAAAGTCTCAATTTGTGTTTAGAAGGTCATTATATAATGCAAAATAATTAGCTTTACTGAAATTATAATGTTTTTGCATTGACCCAGTTCCAAACTGTGATTCCTTTATTGTCAGTTGATTAACACAAATAGTCAATGCGGGATGGTCTTCACTTTCTTTAACAAGAGGTACAGTATCGCGTGCTATGCTACAGTCAATATTAAATACGATGGCAGCGCCAAAATTTCTTGGCCTGAATATGAAAGAAACAAAGTAGAGTAACAATTTTTTATTATTTTTCAATATAATATCCCTTAACTTCAATAAACTTATTACATCTCTTTATTAACAACTCCATCCCTTAAAAAAAATATACTTTCGGTTTGTCTGCAAAATGAGCTAAAACAGCCTCTTTTAACTCAACTTCGCCGTTAAACCGCCGTCCACGTAAGTCCTTTTTCAAATATCCAAACAAATAATAGTCGCTGGGGGGCATATCTGGACTATAGGGAGGATGATCTATCTGTTGGAACCCACATTCTAAAATGACAGCTTGTGCAACATCAGCAGTATGGACAGTTTTCCTCCACGCTTTACACGTATGCAGTCTCACAATTTATGTAATAATGTTGCGTAATATTTACCATTGACAGCGGTATTAGTTTCTTTAAAATCTATCAAAAGAATTCCTTCACAATCAAAAAAGATCGTGGCCATCACCTTTTTTGTTGACTGGCAAACTCTGAATTTTCTTGGAGGTGCTTCACCCTCACGACGCCTCTCCATTGATTCTTTTTTCGATAGAGGGACATAATAGAGAACCATAGCTTCATCTCCCGTCACAATAGTTTCTATCACAGGCTTCGGTTCCGACCCACAGAGTTCCAAAAAAAAAACCGCGCACACTCGACACCGCGTTGTTTTTGAATAGCCGAAAGGTTTTTAGGAACCCATCTAACTAACCTTATGCATACCTAAATGATTATCCAAGATTCGACGAACACTTGTATCAGAAAGCTTAGTATTTTCTGTCAATCACTCAATACCGCCTCTTCCACAATCGCAACAATATCTTGCGTTATGACCTCCACCGGTCGACCAGTTCTTGAATCATCTTCAAGGGACCCCTTCCCCATTCGAAAACGTTTTGCCCATTCTTTCACTACAGAATACGAAGGAAAACTTTGGCCGTACACACCGTCCAGCCTTTCTTTAATAATTTTAGGCGCTAACCCTTCTTTTGTCAAAAACTTTATGACTGCTCATACTCAATTTGCGTTATTTGCGACATTTTTTCGGACGCGTCTTGTTCAAAATCCTGTCAATGAAAAACTATTTGACGCAAGACTTCATTTTTTTTCGCAGCCTGCTAAGATATATATTTAAAAGAAGACAAAGTTTTATCGTGATACTGGAGGTGCATCTATGTCAGGCCTTGAAATTTTGGCTCTAACCTCGTAATACTAAATCAAGAAGCCTGTCCTTGCTTTCAAATATACAATTGTATTGTTTCATATTTAAAAAATCTAGCATGCAATTGATAGTAAACGTTTTACGTTCGTTGTTGCTTTGGTGAACATAATCTGGGCAGTTGAAGTCACCCAAAACTAGTGTTGTTGTGAAGAATTTCGAAATGCAGCAAATGCAGCATAACAATCTACGGCTACGGAAGGTGGTATATACAAGAGCGATAAAATTATTGAATTATGTTGCAGAGTGAATGAAATAACCAAATATGGGTTTTAATTATTTCGGAATCTCAAAAAACCTGACGTTGTCCCAGATATTGGATTAGACCATTGAAGAGTCACTTAAGAGAGCTTCAAAATGATATACTACTCAACCCCCTTGAAGCGGTCGGGAAGATATAAAACTACCCGCAATAATGAAATAACCAAATGTTCGTTTTGTTGATTTCGGAATCTCAAAAAAGCTGACATCCCAGATATTGAATTAGACCATTGAAAAGTCACTTGGGAGAGCTTCAAAATGAATCAATCACCTTGAAACGGTCGGGCAGACATAAAACTACTCCCTAAAATTCGCCATTATCAAAGTAGAGATTTGGGTTTTATCCCGAAATTTACTGGCAACGACACATCCATCGATCATAGATGCTCGCGATATTCAGGAAACTTTCTTAATTTTGTTTGTAATTTTCATTTTTATAGTTATTTAGCCTTTCATTAAAAGTTTTCTGGGACGACATTTGCGCACAAATTTGAGCTTTTGGGATTAATAACAATTGCATATTATGTTTCATTATAAAATATTTGTAGTATAGTATAGGAAACGCCAAAATTCGAGGGACTAAATTCTGTACTTGACACCGTTTAGAGAAACAGGGTGTCCCATTCAAAGAAAAAATCGATGAAATGTTTCCGGATTAGGAACAATAGTTATCATGTTGGTTGTACAATTTCTCTCATGTAATTCAAAAGTAAAAAGAGGCAGGCATATACTTGTTTTTAAAATTAACCACAGCAACCTAACATGACAAAATATACAGGGTGTGCAACATAA